GCTTTGGGTTGCCAGTGTCGCTATAGCTGACCCTCTTGACGTTACCACCGAACTTATCATATCTTGTCTGTATTCTCAGGGGACCATCTCTCCCTCTCTTTCTTTCCCCCAAAAATCTGGCAAAGGAGCTTGACCCCTTTTAAAATTTTTCTTTAGTGGAAAAGGGAGCCCTTACAGTGTGCCTTTTATGCCCCAGCATTTACACCCAAATCAACCCTTGCGGTCCTTTTTAAAGTCCCCTTTTAATCTTTTTTGGGTTTGTGGGATTTTCTGCCCCAAGCTGGGGAAAAATTTCTGCCATTGTATTCCCTTTTTTTGAAAACCCAAAGTATTTGGGGACTTGATGCCCCCCCACATCACCCCATTGATCTTAGCAGTAGGGGTTTGCAAGGTACTGGAACTTTGGTAATCAGTTTTTTTGGTTTTGGTTTTTAAAGAGATGCACAATTTTCTCCAAAAGCCCAATATGGTTTTTCGAAAGGGGCCCGTTCTACTGTTACCCCTTTAAACTCCAATTTGATACAATGTAAGTAATGTTTTCCAAAACCATTTTGGTTTTATTCCCCCAACGTTTTTTATTTTGAAAAGGGGGAATGGGGACAAACTTGGAGATATAACATCTTGACCCAAGCCCCACTCCTTTTGGCCCCCGAGGAAAATTCTACCATTTTTCCTTAAGAACTTCTTATCCAAGAGACTTTCTGTGTTTTGGGTGTCTTTTGGGTTTGGTGGGGTCCCCCGGGGGATGTGCCCTGAGCACCGTACTTTTTCTCCTTGCTAAAAAAGATCTGGCATCTTTCCCCTTTCTAATATTTGGTCATCACTATGTTGATGACTTTGCTATGCTTGTGCAGGTGCTGACTGTGCCTCATTGCGGGTTTTTCTCCAGCAAAGCGGTCAACCATAAATTTTCCCAAATGGGGCCCTGCTCATGGGGTTTTAAAATTTTTTTGTACTAAAAAAACACCAAATTACTTTTTACTAGACGTTCTTTTGTCCCCGATAATCCCAAATTTTACCTATATGGTTTGCCTATCCCCGAACATAATCTGTAGGTTTCCTCGGCCCACTGTTTTTACCGTCGGTTATTTCCCGGAAACCTCACATTTCCTTTCCCGAAGGGAAACTTTTTAAAAGCCAGCTGAACCCCCTTAAAATCCTTGCTCAAACTTTGTGGGGGTGATTTTCCCAAAAAATTTGACCCGCTTTTTGCCCCCCAAAAATTTTTAAAAACTAGATTTTGGCAAACCCTTATATTTAATGGGGCCCCTCCGGGAACTCTTTCCCCTTTAAACCCCTCCATCACCAGGGATTAAAGTTTAAAGCCCTTTGGGGCTCTTCCCTGTTGAGAAACCCCTATGGGAGAAGCGAAAAAATGCCATCTTTGACCCCTTTTCCGTGATGCTCCCTTTTCCTCCGCTATTTTTTTTCGCTCCCATGACCTCTGCAATACTTCCCTTATTTTGGGGTGGTAAAAAGATTTTTGTAAAAAAGTTTTCCTTTTTGGGTTTGTCGCCTCTGTTTTTTTCCATTTTCCTTTTTTATCTACATTCGCTTGGGCTTCTCTTTTGTTGGCCCCCTTTCTTATGTTCATGTTGATCTAACTTTTTCCTTTCCCCCCTTTGGGGAAATTCTGATGGTTTGTGTCTGTTCTTCCCCATGCCATTTCACGAAAGCCCAAATTCCTATGGTTGCTTCTCGCTCTTTTAATTTAAAAAAAATTTCCAGTCTTAAATTTTCATGTTCCCTCGCCCGGTTTCACCAATTTGGGTTCCCAAATCTCCCACAAACATCATACAAGGGGATTTATTAAAACCCCAGAAAATATAAACATCTCAAATATTGTATGAAAATTTTTGGCAGTAAAGACTGAAAACCAAGGGCCCTTTTTCATTGTTTGGGAGTATACAAGTCTCCAGATGGGAACTTCCCAGCAATTCCCGGAAACAGCTTGAGAAAACTGAACCCCTGTCTGGAAAATTTTCCCCTTCCGCCCCAAACATTTTACTTTCTAGGAAGTTTTTAACTTGAGACACCTAAAATTTGGGGGAAAAAATAGCAAATAAGGGGTTTTGCAGGATCACCCTGGGGGGCAGCTCAGATGAAAAAATTTACACCGAATATTAAATCTCTGCACCAAAATTACCCTTTAAAACCCGCAAAAAAGTAAAACCTACAAACTAAAAATATGCTGGGACCTCATCTTCACTAACAATGACAATCTGATATGTAATATTAACTGTATCAAAGACAATACACTCAGATCACAACATAATAAAAGTACAGACATGTATGCACAGGGCTCCTGACCAGCAAAATGTGAGCAGTCATGAAGGGATCTTCACAAGGGCTCTTCACAAAATTCAATTTCAATAAAAACATACAATAGGATCAAGTAAACCATGTCCTAAATGAAACAAGCTGGGAAGATATCCTAAACAACACAGATCCGAACATTTGCCTTGAAAAAATTAATTCTGTGGTTCTTGAGATCTGCTCAAGACACATTCCATTAAGAAAAAGAAAGAGAAGATGCAAACTAGAAAGAGAGAGATCTTCCCTATACAGACAAAGGCGAAGAGTCACAGAGCTGCTGAGTGGTGCCAATATATCTGAAATACGAAGGAAAGCACTAGTCAATGAAATTGCAAATATCGAACTTAAGCTGAAGGAATCTGACAGGAGACAAGAATCACAGGAAGAACTTATGACCATAAAGGAAATTGAAAAAAAACAAAACTTATGGCAAATCTAAGAGAACAGACAGCGCTGTATAGCCCTTGTGGCTTATTGTGCTTCTTTTTTATTATAATAATAATAATAATAATAATAATAAGAGAACAACATCCAGTATTGGGCCCCTGCTTAGGCAGGATGGGACATGCACAGATGACAGCCAAGAAATGAGACACTGAAGTCCCAATTTGACTCAGTGTTCAGCAAGTCACTGCCCAGACTAGGGGTTGACAATCCAAATGAATTCTTTATGAACGAAACAAAATTTGGTCATATCAAAAATCTCGGATATTATTCTAACTCCACAAAACTGAAGAGGCAATAAATGACATGCCCATACACTCTGCCCAAGGCCCAGACTCGTGGAACTCAGTGTTCATCAAGAATTACAAGAAGCCCGTATAGCGTGCCTTCAGCATTTTATGTAGAGGGAGCATGGACACAAGGGTCATTCCCACACACACTTAAAAACAACAGACATAGCCCCACTCCACAAAAGTGGCAGTAAAGCAATTACAAAGAACTACAGACCGATAGCGCTAACATCCCCTATCACAAAAATCTTTGAATGGGTTCTAAGAAGCAAGATCGCCAACCACCTAGATATCCATCAATTACACAAACCCAGGCAACACTAGGATTAGAGCAGGTCGCTCCTGCCTGTCCCAGCTACTGGACCACTATGACAAGGTCCTGGATGCTGTAGAGGATAAACAGAATACAGATGCAGTATACACAGACTTTGCAAAAGCTTTCGACAAGTGTGACCATGATGTAATAGCACACAAAATGCGTGATAAAGGAATAACGGGAAAAGTTGGTAGATGATCTACAACTTCCAGACAAAAAGAACACGAAGAGTAATAGTAAACAGATTTAAAGTCTCAGGCAGCCACGGTAAAAAGCTCTGTTCCAACAAGGCCCAGTACTTGCTCCACTTCTATTCCTCATCCTCATTTCTGACAGAGATGTAAGCCACAGCTCCATTTCTTCCTTTGAGGATGACACCTGGATTACCATGGCAGTGACCTCCATCGAAGACACCGTGAGACTCCAAGCGGACATCAACCAAATCTTCGAATGAGCCACTCGAAACAATATGAAGTTCAACGAGGAGAAATTTCAACTACTCAGATATGGGAAACCTGAAGAAATTAAAAATGTATCAGGGTATACGACAAATTCTAACCATACAATTGAGCAGAAAAGTAATGTGAAGGACCTAGGAGTGATAATGTCAGGGGATCTCTCCTTCAAAGACCCCAACAATGTATCTACCTCATGCGGTAGGAAAATGATAGGATGGATAATGAGAACCTTCAAAACTAGGGACACCAAGCCCATGATGCTTCTCTTCAAATCACTTGTGCTCTCTAGGCTGGAATACTGCTGTACACTAACAGCCCCTTTCAAGGCTGGCGACATTGCAAACCTGGAGAGTGTACAAAGAACTTTCATGGCACACAAGTACGATAAGGCACTGAAACTACCAGGAATGGTTGAAGGTCCTTGATCTGTATTCCCTCGAACGTAGGCGAGAGGGATACATGCTAATAGTATAGACTTTATAAGATCCTGGAGGGATTGGCACCAAACCTGCACACGAAAATCACTCCATATGAAAGCAAAAGACTCGGCAGGAGATGCAACATTCCCCCGATGAAAACAGGGGCGCCACGAGTACACTGAGAGACAACACAATAAGTGTCCGGGGCCCAGTACTGTTCAGTTGCCTCCCAGCATACATAAGGGGGATTACCGATAGACCCCTGGCTGTCTTCAAAAAGGCACTGGACAGGCACCTAAAGTCAGTACGTGACCAACCAGGCTGTGGTTTGTACGTCAGCTTGCATGCGGCCAGCAGTAACAGCCTGGTTGATCAGACCCTGATCCACCATGAGGCCTGATCTCAGACCGGGCTGCAGGGGCATTAACCCCTGAAACCCTCTCCAGGTAATACAAAGGTCAATAATTCATTTAAAATAAAAAAAAATCATTAGCCATGGATATACATACTCAAAACAAACTACAGCCATGTGATATTTGAGATATGACTATCTATTATATCAATGCTATCAAAATACGTACATTGCAGCAAATGATATTTGTTAATATTTAAAATGCTTTAAAAATTAGCTAATATTTCACAATGAGGGTAGAAAAACTCACTTCTAACATTTTTACAATACTAACTTCAAATCTGTGAATAAGCAAAGAATTATTTTTAGTCATTCCAGTGTTGAATGTAATTACACAATTCTGACCTATCCATTCACGAGCATGTGGAAGAGGTCGAGAGCAGTCTGGAGTGCCATTTTTAACCACTGTGCCATCCAAGCTGTTTCCTGTCCACTCGTCCACGCAAAAACAGATATCTGTGAAACAAAAGTTTTAAAGGAAGAACTGTTCTCAATGTTTTCAGTAGTGATGATAATTTATTAACAGGCTGCTATACAGTTTATGATGGAGGCTAAAAGATGGTAATACATTCACCATGATGTAAAATGATAATATAGCAGCTCTCCATTTAGTGCAGTGATTTGTAAAGTGTAATCTAAATTTTTCCCAGTATGCCAAAAATTTATTAGACCATGCTACACAGCAACAGAGATTTCCAAATCTGCTGTCATGCAGCCTGGCACTGCTTAGGCCTAAGGTATTTTACATGTAGTTGCCCACCCAAGGATCCCCCACTACACCTTAGCATTACTTGTGCCACTTCAATTTCTTGCCTACACCATCTCTTCCTACATGGGTAAGAGGGGTGGAATTAAATTATGGGGAATCAAATACAAAATGGGAGTTGACACAGTTACTTTTTGCTGATGATGCTGTGCTTATGGGAGATTCTAAGGAGACGCTGCAGAGGTTAGTGGACGAGTTTGGGAGGGTGTGTAAAGAAAGAAAACTGAAAATGAACACAGATAAGACTAAGGTGATAAGGGTATCAAACAAGTTAAGTAAAGAAAAACTGGATATCACACTGGAGGGAGAGAGAATGGAAGAAGTGGAAGTGTTGGTTAACCATAGAATTGAAGAAAAAAAGGTGAGTAGTGCATTGAGGTATCTGTGGAGACAAAAAATGTTATCCATGAATGCAAAGAAGGGAATGTACGAGAATATAGTGGTACCAACACTTACATTATGGGTGTGAAGCATGGGTTGTGAATGCTGCAGCGAGAAAGAGGCTGGAGGCAGTGGAGATAATGTGTCTAAGAGCAGTGTGTGGTGTAAATATGCAGAGAATTCATAGTGTGGAAATTAGGAGGTAGTATGGAGTTAGTAAAAGTATTATTCAGAGGGCTGAAGAGGGGTAATTGAGGGGGTATGGTGATTTAGAGGGGATGGAACAAAATAGCTATTCGGAGGGTGTATAAATCTGTGGTGGAGGGGTAGGGGTCATCCTAGGAAAGGATGGAGGGAGGGGGTAAAAGAGGTTTTGTGTGTAAGGAGCCTGGACATGCAGGCATGTGTGTGCATGTTAGATAGGATTGAATGGAGACGAATGGTTTTTGGGACTTGAAGAGCTGTTGGAGTGTGAGCAATATTTTGTGAAGGAGGGATTCAGGGAAACTAGTTAGCTGGACATGAGTCCTGTAGGTGGGAAGTACAATGCCTGCACTTTAAAGGAGGGGTTTGGGATACTGGCATTTTGGGGAAGGACATCTGAACTTTAAATTTTGGGGCCCCAACTAAAAAGATAGGTTTGGGGTGAAAGGGTGTAAAGTGTTTCTTTTTTTGGGTCCCCCCCTGGTTTCTGGGAGCGGCCGACGTGTGAAAAAAAAAATATCATTTATGTTTTCCAAAGGGATATGAACCAGGGGCACCCAAGGGGAATTTTCCCAAAGGGAAACCAAAAAGAAGGATTTGAGTGAATCTACGATTTGGGTTTTAAAGGGAAAGTTTTGAAAATTTTTAATTTTCCCATTTAACCTTTTCACTGTGGGAAGCCCTAAATTAAAAGTACCAAATGTTGATATTTTTTTTTTTTTTAAAAAAAAAAAAATTTCTTTAAAAAAGGGTTTGAGATTTTTTTTAGGGAAAGGAAATTTGGACACCAAGACTACAAAATTTTTTTACTAAAAACTTACTGTTTTTAAACGGGCTAAAAATTTAGTGCCCTTTGGGTGAAATTTTCCGCTTCAGTGATTTACCCCAATTTTTTTCCCTTTTTTAAAACCCAATTTTTCTTTTTCTCAATCGATAGAAGGGAAGGCATACTAGGGAAACCACTAAGAATTTGGTTAAAAAGGGGACCCAAGGGGGAATTGACTTAAAATGGGGTCCCTCTTAAAGGGGGGGGTTTCCTTGGCGTGGTGAAAAAGGCTTTTGGGTTGGAGGAATTACCCCTGTGGGTTTTTTCCCCCCAGCCCAAAAACCAATTTAAACCCCCCATTCTCCCCCCCCCTATCCCATCCCCCCCATCCTCCCCTTTTTTTCCATTCCTCCTCCCCCTTTCCTCCCCCCCTCCCTTTTCCCCTTCCTCTTTTTACCCTTCTTTTTTCTCCCCCACAGGGGGCCGCTATTTCCCAAAGGTGGGGGAAAAGGACCCCGGGGGCCCAATCCCATACCTTGGGAGGTTTCTTGGCGGTGGGCGTAGTTTCCCGGGGAAATTCGGGATTGCCTGGGGGATGTCCCATCCCTCTCCGGTATCCCGGAGTAGTTTTTGGGGTTTGTTTTTTGGGCGACGGTGTATCTCTGGAAGCCCCCTTTCGGTTTCCGGGGGGGTTTGGTGAAGGGGGTTTGTTTTTGTGGGGGATATCCGGCCGCCCTCTCTTTTTTGTCCCCCGGGGTTAGCCCCGGCAGATGTGGGGTTGCTATCCCGGATTGCTGGTTTACTGGAAATGAAGGGTAGGGTTTGGGCACGGGTTCCATGCTCCCATCTGCGCTATTTAGCGGTCGATCCTCTTGGGCGCGGGGGGAGTTTTTGGCCCCCTTTTCTTTTCCCCCGGGGAAAACAAATTCCCCCCGGGCTCCCCCCCTTTTTTTTTTTTTTTTTTTTTTTTTAATTTTTTTTTCCTTCTTTCTTTTTTTTTCTTAAAAAAAAAAAGAAAGGGAAACCCAAACCATGGCAGCCCTAGCCCATAAAAACCACTACCCCCGGGCCCCCTTTTCTTGAAACCGCCCCCCCCAAATTCTGACCCTCCCTTTGTGTTTAGACCACCTTGGACCCCTCATTACCCCCTGCCCTTTCTTGCGGTTGCTGTTTCCTCACCCCGCTTCGGGTCCGGGGTTTTCAAACTGACTCCTTCGATTTTTGAACTCCGCTCCCCTTTTGCCCAAGTTTCCCGGTTTCTCCCTCACGGTACGGAAATTTTTCAAATCGCCCCCCCCATTTAAAATTCCGGCCCAAAACCCGGTTTCCAAATCCAAACGCCAACGCCCTTTCTCCTGATGATTCCCTCCGTCTTTACCCCCCATTCTACCAAACCCCGGACACGTCAAGCACCCCCTCTCCACGCCGGGTTTGGGCCCCCCACCCCCAATGACAAATTCTTTATTTTAAGCCCCAACTTCTTCTTTGCCAAACCTTTCTACCATGTATTCCCAAAGCGCCCCCTCTAAATTTTTGGCCCGAGATATTTCAGTTCCCCGCTCTCAAGAGCGGAAACCCCCCTCTCACTGCCCCAGAATGCTCCCCAAAGCTCATACCCTTTCTTCCCTTTCAATAGGGGATACTACCCCCCTATCACAATTGAAAAAAACATCTTTCCCTCCCCCAAATTCTTTGTAGTGGTACGGGTATTTTTTCCCAATACCATATTTCCAACAGAATTTCCCAGTCATGGGAAATGACATTTTTGAAAAGCCGGGAAAAATTCCGGGATCTCCCAATCCCTAAAGTAGACACTTTTTTGTCCTTCCTGCCCGGGGGCGGAGCTTTTCCCCCCTTCCCAAATTTGGCTTTTTTTAAAATTTTTTTGAAAGCCGAAAATTTTCCCTTCCCCCCTTTGTATATGTCGGGGGACATGGGTTTAAAAGTTCAAAAGGGGATAACCTACAACCGCAAAAATGTAAAAATTTGTTTGGGTTTTGTCCCCCCGAAATTTTTGCAGATCTATGGGCCAAGGCCCAGCCCTTGTGGGGGCCAAACAACCTTTTTAATAAAATCTTGCAGTCAACCTCCATCTTCCCAAAAATTGGGAAATTTGAAGTCACCCTTGGGCCTCCCCCGCCGTTCCAGGTCAAACAAAAAAGAACGGAAATCCGTTCCCTTTTCAAAAAAAGGCAGAAGGCCCCCTTAAAGTTTAAGGGCAGTTACTCTTCTCCGCCCCCCCAAAAAAAGCCCCTTCCCCCCCTTTTTCCCTTAAATTCTATTTTTTCCCAAAAAACCCCCCCCCCACTTCGGGGTCCCCATCTTTTCCTGCAGCCCCCTCTGTTTTTAAACCCCCCTCCCAAAGCCATTACGGCAATCTAATCCTTTTGTTGTCCTTGGCTCTGACGTCCCCTACAACTCAGTCTGTTCTCACATCTTTTGCTTTCCTTCCCCCCAAAGCCCCAGTAGGGACAAGAAATCGTAGGGACACCAAATACCAATCCCCCCTTTTATTTCAGAGTCCAAAAAATCCCATTGAAAAATCTTCTTTGCCCCTTCCTTCCCTTCTCCACCTCCACACGTTCCCTTTCCAGTTTTCGTCCCAAATTTTCTTCCCCCTCTCTCGGCCTATTACAATGTGGGGAATTCACCCTCCTCCTCGTATTTTGGCCTTTCCCCAACCCCCGCCCCCTCCCAAGTTTTTCCCCCTTTTTCTGTAAACCTAAAGGTTTCTACCCCCTTTCTGTCCCCCCCAACTTCTCTCCATCCCTTACCTTTTCCCCCCCCCTTATTTTGGGAACAGTCCAAAACTTTTCCCAATTTTTACTCACCCTCCCCCTTTCCTATTCCAATTTTTTCCCATCCATCTTTGAATTCAAAACACTTGAACCCCTTTTCAAAATTTATTGCAGAGCAAAACCCTTCAATGGACACTGATTCACTTCTGTTCCTTTTTCTTCCCCCCTCCTCCCCCTTTACAACCCCATTCTTCGCAAAAGCTCCCTTCCTTTGCTACCTTTAACTTTTTCCAATGCCCCAAACGTTGACTTTTTCTAACCCCTTTTATCCCCTAGGTGCCTTTACCCCAGATTCCTGATAATTTTTTTCATCCCAATCATGGCCTATTTACAGTGGAATATCCGCGGCCCCCAAGGGGGAATCGGGGGGAGCTTCAAAATTTGCTTTCCCGGGTTTTTTCCCCGTTTTTGCTTGCTTCAAGAACCAAAAATTCACCCCGGCTGTTTTTCCAACCTATTTCAGGCTATAATTTTTTGAATTCTTTGGGTCCTTTCTTTAGATGGGACCCTTTTAAAGAAAAATCCCTTTTCTACGGGAATG